TGCATCTTGTAGCAGTAGCTACCAACAGCACTCACACACACATTATATATTGCATCTTGTACCAGTAGATACCAACAGCACTCAGACACACATTATATATTGCATCTTGTAGCAGTAGATACCAACAGCACTCACACACACATTATATATTGCAACTTGTAGCAGCAGATACCAACAGCACTCACACACATTATATATTGCATCTTGTAGCAGTAGATACCAACAGCACTCACACACACATTATATATTGCAACTTGTAGCAGTAGATACCAACAGCACTCACACACACACACACATTATATATTGCATCTTGTAGCAGTAGATACCAACAGCACTCACACACATATTTTATATTGCATCTTGTAGCTGTAGATACCAACAGCACTCACACACACATTATATATTGCAACTTGTAGCAGTAGATACCAACAGCACTCACACACGCATTATATATTGCATCTTGTAGCAGTAGATACCAACAGCACTCACACACCATTATATATTGCATCTTGTAGCAGTAGATACCAACAGCACTCACATACACATTATATATTGCAACTTGTAGCAGTAGATACCAACAGCACTCACACACACACACACATTATATATTGCAACTTGTAGCAGCAGATACCAAGAGCACTCAGACACACATTATATATTGCATCTTGTAGCAGTAGCTACCAACAGCACTCACACACACATTATATATTGCATCTTGTAGCAGTAGCTACCAACAGCACTCACACACACATTATATATTGCATCTTGTAGCAGTAGATACCAACAGCACTCAGACACACATTATATATTGCATCTTGTAGCAGTAGATACCAACAGCACTCACACACACACACATTATATATTGCAACTTGTAGCAGCAGATACCAAGAGCACTCACACACACATTATATATTGCATCTTGTAGCAGTAGATACCAACAGCACTCACACACACATTATATATTGCAACTTGTAGCAGTAGATACCAACAGCACTCACACACACATTATATATTGCAACTTGTAGCAGTAGATACTAGCAGCAATCCACAAAGATCCAGACCAAATTCTGTTCCTAATTAGACTAGGAGTCACAAATGTAGATATTTCCTAATGCATTTATCCATGTATATATTTATAAACTGATTTATAGTTTTAACATTAATCATTTTCATGATACAATTATATCACTAAAATTTTAGTCAGGTACTTTATTTACAACCAATACATTAATAATACGTGACAAAGACGATGAATACATCTTCTGTATTAAATTGATGTTCTTTTTTTATTAGAGCGAGTACGTACCCTATAAAAGGAAAATTAATTTGTATCAGTTTGCTGCAACAAAAGGAGAATAATTGTGTTTCCCTTGTATCAAGTGATTAAACGTTGATAAGTCCGAGTCCTATTCGATAAGCTAGCGTGACATACAATGTGGCATAAATTATGCCCCATCACGTTTAGCAGCAGATTCTCTTTGTCAAAGGTCAGAAACATGAATATTGGGAAAAGTAAAATGTCAGCATGTGATATATGATTTAATGCTTCGTCAAATTGCTTGAAAATGCATTGGAATTCATTCAACAGTTTCGTTCAGCTCAGCCTGTGTTAATTTTGTTTTTATCTACAGGCACTGTCAGATTTTTTTTGACTGATGGACATAGAATCGCATATTTTCTTTTACTATTAACTGCGTCTTAAACTTTTTATTCGTTTCTTCTTTATCCACGTGGTCATTCATATGAGAACATCCCTCTTCTTTCTAGTCTTGTTCATGTTTTAATTTTAAAATTGGAAATCTGCTGTTTCTTTCTCATTTCTGTTTTCTTTAACTGCTTTCTGATCAGTTTAATATTTGTATAATTCCTCTTTTGCACCTTGCTTTTAATTCGTTAAACGCTGTCTTTTTTCATGCTACATTGGACGTTAAATGCCGCCTCTTTGCATGCTACATTGGACGTTAAATTTCGCCTCTTTGCATGCTACATTGGACGTTAAATGCCATCTCTTTGCATGCAACATTGGACGTTAAATGCCGTCTCTTTGCACGCAACATTGGACATAACTACGAGTTAGTAATGCAGTAATACGATCCTAAACTCAAAGGTCTGGGCCAATTATCTTTCGTAACCATACCTGTGAATGAGTGCAAGGTTAGTTTCTGGCATATACTTTGCGGGAGTAAAGTTTGACATCTGTTTGACTTTTGGAGTGTCCATCAATCACAAAATGTCCTGCAGTAACCTTACATTTCTTGGCTTTCATAAGATGGTATTTAGACATCAATTCCTTTATTAACGTATATTTCCTTCATTGTCCTTTAGTTGCAGTTTATTAGCTACCACCAACACTATCTTACCTATTTTTTAAGGTAATAACTTGCACTAAATTTGTAAACTACTCTATATAGGTTATGTAACATGTTACGGAAATATTTTAATTTGAATGAAATAAATTGCTTTTATTTTATTTTATTATAGTGCGAGCAGAGCACCTTATAGGAACGATGTGGCATCGTCCTCGAGATAAAAGGCTGACTTTAAGAAAGGTTATATTTGTTTTTAGGGCTGTCAATTCACCTTTATTTTTAAATACAAGTAACATATGGTTCAACTAATATGGTTGGTCATAGCTACACTATTGATTGTTCTCTCTCTCTCTCTCTCTCTCTCTCTCTCTCTCTCTCTCTCTCTCTCTCTCTCTCTCTCTCTCTCTCTCTCTCTCTCTCTCTCTCTCTCTCTCTCCAGGTTAAATAAAGCACGATGGTTTCATAAATTATGCATGACGTGGTGCATGGTAGGCATGCAAATTTAATAGCACAAACTTCATACGATTTATGATAGCAAAACTTTATCTTCTGTGAGATACATAGGGAATAAATCGGATATAGCTGAGTCACTCTTTCACGCATGATCAAGTACCTAAAATTCTTTGAAAAACAGTCTGTTAAAAAACTTAATACTGTTGACACTTTTATAAAACCAAATAGTTCAGATTTAGTTTGTAGTTTGTATCTTTTTTTGTAAAACGACTTCATTCTGGCTTATCAAGGGCAAAGTATAAAATTAGATGGCACCAATTTGTAGTCATTAGAAGCATTAAAATGTTTCGTGTCCACATATAAAATATATCCAAAATATATTGAAACATGTAAAAAACTCAATGTAAAAATTCAGTTCCCATAACAATATAATGCAAACACCATGATATTAAAAATTTTATAATTTTAAATTTCTGAGTGGTCATGGTCAAACCTATATTTATGAGTATAGATGAAACATGGATGTCAGCTTCTGTGAAAGGAAAATGAAACGGGTACTTTAATTTCTGCACCAAAGAGTCGGGTGCTAATTTCAGTAATGAGTGTTTCAAACTCAAGGCTCTTAAAGGATTGAAATTCCATCAATAAATCAATGTCTCCCGGATGTATACTCTATTTTATGATCAACCATTATCAGAGTGGTTCCCGTATTTCCATTCAATTAGAACCGTATGTCCTTAAAGGCTTCTTGCGATTATCGGGTGGACTAATAATTTTTGCGTAGATCCTGTGCTATCTTAGATTCATAACCATGCTATATTGCTGGGTGAGTCATGTTTCACAACGTTATATCTAGGTTAGCAAAACCACGTCGTATTGTTGCATATTGCACCGCCTAGTTGATGCCAAGAAGTTATTTAAGTCAAAGACAAGCTCTCAGAACAGTATTTACTTCAAAAAAAATTTGCTGCTCATGTTTCGTTTCGTTTTGATTGAATAAGATTAGTGATTGTTGCACTTTCTTATATAAATCTTTAATTTGAGATTAATTTAAACAAAAGTTACGACACATTGAAAAATATAACTTTGGCTCGCATTTACTATATATATATATATATATATATATATATATATATATATATATATATATATATATATATATATATATATATATATATATATATATATATATATATATATATATGAGGTGAACATTTCTGTAAGATCCTTGCTTATTCAGGTTGGTGATATAAAGTTTTTTTTGTTAAAATACAAAATGGATTTCATATTATATTCCATACAAATTAAAACCTAAATCCTCTTTCAATAGGGAATCTCTCGAGGTAATATTGATTTAAACAAAACGTGTCCCTCAACATACTGTGATCTAGCAACCCTGCCTTACACCGCAGTTCTATGTTCCAGTATGTACTCACTTATAAGATGCGTCGAACTGCAAACAACAAATATACTAATCTGAGGTCCAATAATGCGCCTGCAGATCAAGGTCTATCTTGCTTATTCTACTGTTCTACTGAATACTCTTAATAAAATGCACCAACCCGGATCTACTGACGCATTATACTACCGCAGATTTGGGTCTATGCAGTTTGCAGTTGAACTCGTCTTATAAGTGACTATAGACGATACATACATACATACACACATATACATGCATGCATGCATGCATGCATGCATACATACATACAGATATATATATATATATATATATATATATATATATATATATATATATATATATATATATATATATATATATATATATATATATATATATATATATATTGAGGCTATGAAGCGCACAAAAAACTTGCAAAAGCGACATGTTTGCTTGTGTAAGAAATTGTTTTAATTTTCTTTGGAACCCGCGTGCCGTTTAATAAAGACTTCAAGTCTAAGCTAACGAAAAGGATGCCGTACAATCTGTCGCAATCCGTATTAAAATGTCATTGTTTTGCAATATTATCCAACGCGTTTTGTGTATGTGATTTAGATTTTTAATATAGCTTTAACAATTTTGTAGTTATATTGCTACGATGTCTGCAGTGTGGCAGTTCATAGTGATGTCTAGCACTGGGGCATCGTGCAGCAGATATGTGGCATCATGTCCCACCCAGTCACATTATCCTGACACCAGGCCAACCATTCCTAACACTTCCTTTTAATGCTGAGCGTCATGCAAGGCAGCTGTTAGTACCATTTTACAATTCTTTGGTATGACTCGATCTGGATTTGAACCCGTGACACCCCACCCCACCCCCGCATCTGAGGCCAACGCTTTGACCACTAGGCCACCGAAGCGGTCAACGCTTTCTGAAATATCTTGAAAAAATTCTTGTAATTGTGAATCAAAATTGTAAATCTCCAGAGTGATATCTAAAAGGAAAGTGATAAGACATTTTTATTTAAAAACAAAGTTTTCCTGAACTCTGTTCAAAATAATTATTTGCAGACTTTTCCTTTTCTCTATGGACTGACGTTTAGAATTCATTCACAAATTATTTTCGTCCAGAACATTGCTCCCTGAAAGCCACTAAAAAGTCAAACACATCGATGAAAACGTAATTTCTTAAGCTGGAGGAAAGCTACGTATTTTGTGCAGGAGACGCTCCAGAACCTCAGTATAAATCTTAACCCCGAAGCCATTGTTGTCGTTATATTGTGAAATAAAATATTCCACGAAGGACCAATAAAATCCTTATCCTATCACTTGTGTAAAAAATAAGTTTCATATTTCCAGCTATTTATAACTCAATATTAATCTGCTTACAAAAACAACAAATTTAAAATCGTAATAAAAAAAGCTAGTAATACAGGAAATAAATACGGAAACGAAAACAAAGAAACCGTTCATTGACTGTTTTTATCAATGATCTATATTGTCGGTAGACGTTCTTGGACTAATCTCTAGAAAATAATATGTATTATTTATGCTTTAGTCAGGCTTTTATGTCAGGATCAATCGGTATGAAGATATTTGATTAATAATGACGAATGATAAAGCATTTATTACAAATTATTATCTAGATAAATTTTTTAAATATGCGTTCATCGTTTGTCTGCTGGTCTGCAGTTATAATTGTCAATTGAAGGGCACTAAGTTGGAAATTTGAACCAAATAGTAGGAAAATAGATTATTTGCTTTAGTTGAAAAGATATTTTAACGATTCACCATGCCCATCATTTTAAATACAGAACTTCTTTTTTCCCCATGTTACTATGGGTGAGGACAAATTATGTTCATCTGGAATGAAGTAGCTGGCCTAAGTACAATGTATCAAATTACAAAGCTGAATGTTGGATTCCTCACAGCAATAAAAAAAGAAATTATAGATATAAATAATATTGCGTTTTGTGTATTCGTAATAATTTGCTTTTAGAATCCACTGATATATTTTTTTAAGCATTATGTTTATCAACGTTATTTCCATTTTACTTGATTGACGCACATTACAAAAAAGAATAATATTTCATAGAAAATGTATGACATGTTTGCAAGCAAATCAAAATATATTTTAATGGGAAAGTCGTGCATGAACGATTGGTTTCAGAACTATGTCAGTAAAGATTTTTCCATTGAAATTATTCGACGTTTCATATACGTTAGAATAAATGTGCTAATATTCCCAAATAACACTAAATAACGTGTGATCTTAACACCATATTTTACCTGCGTGATTGACGTTTTTGCAACGTAGTGCTAAAGTATGTTAAAAACCTATATATTATGTGCGACTTCTTAATTTCCAATTGCTTAAGCATTCGGGGTTTTTTTTTTCTTCTTCATAGCGGGTATGGCATAAATTACAAAATAAACTTCCCAAAACCAGACACTGATGGAAACAAATATTTTAAGCCTTAGTTTATTAGAGGTGCATGGCATCCGGTTCATTAATCACGTCTTAGAGGTCAATACCTCCAATACCTGCCGAAAGCTGCCATTCCTGCCACTTCGGTTATTTATGTAACAAATTGCGAATATTTTGACATATTTTTGTTTTCATTTGTAACTTCTCGTTCAGTTCTGCGGTTAATCCAGTCGTAAAAATGACTAAATTTGTCCGAATAAATTGTTGTTTTTCCGGTATAAAGTGTGATATTCGGTAAATTACCTTTGAGGTATATTTTCATCTCGCAGAAATAGTGTAGGTGGTCGGAATAGGATTCAAAATTATAGCAAAATAAATATAGTTCAGCACACTTGCCTCCATTATTTTGCGCGCACAATGCCAGGCATGCACTTTTGAATGGCAGATACCAGTAGAATAATAACTCATGAGGGCGGAAGTAATGCAAAAATGCGTTGCTAATAAAGAAATAGCACTATAAGTTATAACCAGCTGCGTTATCGCAAACTTTTTCGTTACTTCAATACAACAGATACCCATTTATGCAATGCTATTTTTATTTTTAAAAAATGATCGGTTAGAATCTTCGCTGGAAAGAATTAACAAAGAAAATATGTAGCAAAGAAAGGAATACTTATGCTTTGACCATCTGTCATCTGTTAAGTTGCAGAAAAAAAAACATTTGTTTCCCCTTTGACCTTTCATAAAGATCATTATAAAAGAGTTTAGAAGCCTTACAAATAAATTTGTTTATTGGGTTAATACTTTAGAATTGCCTGATCTATGTGTTCATATACGTAATTTGTCATAGCTGCAAAATTGTGTAAATTGATCCATGCAATCTGCTTTGATAACCTTGAAACTGAAATTCAATATCAGTTTGGTGATAAGATACTCCGTTTGACAGGAATAATGCCATCAACTTTCTGCAACTTTCTTGTAAATATCTTTAATAGTAGTTCATTAAAGATGAAAAGCATATTTTAAGAAGAACCAATATTCACGCAAGACAATTGAACATCAAACACTAGTAGCACGTCTTGAAAATTCTCAGAGCTGCTTGTGTGTTGGTGTGATATAATTTTGTCACACTTTTGTCAGCCGTTCTAATGAGTCCTAGACAAGACTGCGGTTCCCGCATATATGAACACTTATAACTTAAAAGTAAACAAACTATTAAGACCTGGAATCCCTTGCAATTTGCACATTAAATCTGTGCATGCTGAGTTACTGAATACATTCATAATGTAATTTATTTCGTAGCAGTTCATGATGAGTTACTGAATACATTCATAATGTAATTTATTTCGTAGCAGTTCATGATGAGTTACTGAATACATTCATAATGTAATTTATTTCGTAGCAGTTCATGATGAGTTACTGAATACATTCATAATGTAATTTATTTCGTAGCAGTTCATGATGAGTTACTGAATACATTCATAATGTAATTTATTTCGTAGCAGTTCATGATGAGTTACTGAATACATTCATAATGTAATTTATTTCGTAGCAGTTCATGATGAGTTACTGAATACATTCATAATGTAATTTATTTCGTAGCAGTTCATGATGAGTTACTGAATACATTCATAATGTAATTTATTTCGTAGCAGTTCATGATGAGTTACTGAATACATTCATAATGTAATTTATTTCGTAGCAGTTCATGATGAGTTACTGAATACATTCATAATGTAATTTATTTCGTAGCAGTTCATGATGAGTTACTGAATACATTCATAATGTAATTTATTTCGTAGCAGTTCATGATGAGTTACTGAATACATTCATAATGTAATTTATTTCGTAGCAGTTCATGATGAGTTACTGAATACATTCATAATGTAATTTATTTCGTAGCAGTTCATGATGAGTTACTAAATACATTCATAATGTAATTTATTTCGTAGCAGTTCATGCTGAGTTACTGAATACATTCATAATGTAATTTATTTCGTAGCAGTTCATAATGAGTTACTGAATACATTCATAATGTAATTTATTTCGTAGCAGTTCATGATGAGTTACTGAATACATTCATAATGTAATTTATTTCGTAGCAGTTCATGATGAGTTACTGAATACATTCATAATGTAATTTATTTCGTAGCAGTTCATGATGAGTTACTGAATACATTCATAATGTAATTTATTTCGTAGCAGTTCATGATGAGTTACTGAATACATTCATAATGTAATTTATTTCGTAGCAGTTCATGCTGAGTTACTGAATACATTCATAATGTAATTTATTTCGTAGCAGTTCATGATGAGTTACTGAATACATTCATAATGTAATTTATTTCGTAGCAGTTCATAAATTTGCACTTCATGGAGCATATACATTCATGTTTCGGAACACTTTGCATGTCGGTAGTTTGTTTACAACACACAATACCTTCTGTGTACAAAATTGCATAAAGCTGTTAATGCTTTACGTTGAGTAATATACATCCCAAAGTCATGGTCTGACTAAATTTAAAAGGCAATAGTATTCAATTCAAGTGATGTATGGTTCGTAAGTGTTTAATAACGACCGGTAAATCTAGTACAGACCATAACATTTATTTTAATTGAACATTGCTCAGTTAATGGCCATATTATTTTGGTGTCAAAACGAACCAATAATTTAAGATATAGATTTATTGTCTCAGTATGTATTTAATATAGTACTAGTTTTAATACTTGACGTAATGTAAAATAACAGTAAAACAGTCAAGTAACTTGCAGTGACATTTCCGGCAAAATGCACTACCTTATAATTGTGTATTCCCTCATCGTACCCCTATGCCTAAAGCCAAACCATATATAAGGACGGAGAATTACCGTACTGCGTAATGTCACTTCAAACAAATACTTAGTTCTTCTATAATTGACGTAGTTAAGGCCAATAAGAAGACCAGGCCGGTGACTACACAGCTGGAAATGACTAATTTAATGCTACTACGTTAGCGACGCATTTTTCTATTGCTTCCGCCGTCTTGCAGGATTCCATTGGTATCCTTTAGCGGTTTTACATCGTTGCATTGCAACATGGGAGCAGGGTACCAGCTAGAATAGAGCGTACTGTGGATATTGAGTCAGAGGTGTTCTTATTACAGATGAAATGGTTTTGGGAGGTTTCACTGAATATCATATTGATCATCATTACAAACTTGACATGAAAATAATTTCTCAAGCTTTTTTCAATATTCCGCAATACAGACATTGTATTGACCTTCTGAGCACGTGTTATATACGTATACATAGAAAGAAATACCGTAATTAAAAGTAACTTGCAGTTGCTGTACGCAGTTGCTTCTCAGACAGCTTTCATACATGCGACCTGATTTTCTAGTCCGCATACGATCATTTGTAATTTTAACGTAGCTTTAGCAATTTTTCAATCATATCGCTACGATGTCTGCAGTGTGACAGTTTATAGTATTGTCTAGCACTGGGGCATCATGC